TTCTGTTTCTGTCTTTGGCAAGCGCATATTCCCTATAGCAAAAATCTCTCTTAAAAAAATGTTTTAGGGGGACCAGCAGTTAGTGTAATGGCTATGTCGCTGGACTCCCACGTAGTCGACCGTGGTTCAAGTCCCAGACCTGGTGGCTTAAACTCACGCTGGGCGCGTGTGCGTGCGTGCCCAAGATCCCGAGAGGAGAATGAAGGAGAAGAGATTGCGGTGTGGCCATCCCCCATGGGGGGTGATTTTTCGCTTTCTGTCTCTCTGTCTCTCTCTGTCTGTCTGGCGAGCGCAAAAACCTCTTCAAAAAAAAAGAAAAGAAAAAAGTTTTAGGTTTATCAGTAATGAGAGTAAAATCAGTTTCCTTGTTTGGTTTATGTGGTAATTTGATGAAAATGAAGTACACGGTTTCCTAAGTATGGAGAGGGAGGAGGTTGAAGTGGCTAGTTAGGATATAGAATTATTTGTGGTTCTCCAAAGTGCCAGTTAAGGATTCTACCCAATATGTATATATTGTTTTAATTTGCTAAAGGGTACATGTATTCACCAGAGAGACCGAGAAAGTGAGAAAGTACCCCTCAGGAGGGATGACTGTACTGCAGTCCCTTTTCCTTAATTCTTCTCAAGATTTCGGGCACACATGCATATACATACACCTGGTTTGTTTTTTTAAGCTGCCAAGGCTGGGACTCAAACCTCACAGTGGGCCATGTGGGATCCAGCATGCCACCTGGCAGGCCTGGATTCCACCCAATTTTTAATTCAACAAATGTTTGTTGAGAACTTGCTTTGTGCCAGACCCTGTGTTAGGTACCCTGTGGATATAAGGCAGTGAACAAGACAAATCCCTGTTCTTATAGTACTTTTTTGAGACAAGACACTTTTGTTGCCTTTTTTTTTTTTTTTCAAAGAATTATTTATTTGTCCACTTATTTATTTTAATTTGAGAGAGACAGAGTTAGAGAGAGAGAAAGTGAAAAAGCAAGCTGTCAGGTCCAGGACTCAAACTGCTGTCAGTCATATGGGAGTCCATTGCCCTTATCCACCATGCCACCTGCTGACACCTTAGTTTTGTTTTGTTTTTCCTTAGTTTTGTTTTTAATTTGCGGATGTTGGGGTATTAAATTGAGAAGGTCTTTGAAGTATTTTCATATTGTCTTTTTTATCAGGACAGTCTTGAAATTACCTTTTAGAAATTTAGAGATTTGAAGCAACCTTTTTTCTTGTGAGCATGGAACCTAGACTCCACAGAGATAGTATAAGATCCCCGGAATATGAGAATATGCCTTAAAGGGGAAAAGAGTTGCGTCATTTCATTGGTATTTTTTTCTACTTATTACAGGCGCCATGATAGTAGTGGGAGTGGACATTCAGCTTTTGAGCCCTTAGTGGCCAATGGAATTCCTGCTGCTTTTTTGTCTAAGTAAGTA